GTGCCGACAAACGCCCCCTGTGATCAAAATGACGGATGTGAAAACAAAATGTCGGGTGTCAAATCACAATGTCGTGTGTCAAATCACAATGTCGTGTGTGAAATCATATTGGCGGGTGTGAAATCGAAATGTCGGGCGTGAAATCGGGGTGAAATCAAAATGGCGGGTGTAAAATCAAATGTCAATAGTTTGAAACTTAGTGCGTGGTGAGTGCGGTGTTGTGTTACTGACCGTGATGATTATATATTATTAAGCCAACACCTTTTCTAGTCTCTGTTATGTCCGACTGCATATCACAATAGCGTAGAGTCACTCTCAGTCTGTACGAATTATGGTGTAACTGTATATGTCTTAGCTTGTCTCTCTATAGATAGGATATAGGAGATATGGTGTGGCTGTGTATGTCTTAGCTTGTTTCACTATAGATTTATGGTTTATAGATTTATAGAGTTATGGTGTGGCTGTGTGTGTGTTACCTTAGCATTGCTCCATGGGAAAAGCATTCCTAGCAGAAATACTCCTAGAAGTGGTCCACCAACTGTGCCGTTTACCAGAATTGATACCTAAAACCAAGATGTACATTCAGTCATTCACTCTTTACTCCTGGAAGCTTTAATACTTGTTCATATTCAATTTAATTGAACGATGTGGACGGGGCGGATTTCTCTTTAAATCCAGTGGACGTTATTTATTGTACACATTTTGAACCAGTTGTGAACATAGTTATGACCATCGTAAGTCTATATGCCATAAATTATGCAGGACGCTCAACCCTAACCCTAACCCTACCCTTAGGCATACCCTAACCCTAACCCTTAGGCCTACCCTCACCCTAACCCTAACCCTAACCCTTGGGCCTACCCCAACCCTCATCCTAACCCTAACCCTCATCCTAACCCTTAGGCCTACCACAACCCTAACCCTTAGGCCTATCCCAACCCTAACCCTAACCCTCACCCTAACCCTTAGGCCTACCACAACCCTAACCCTAACCCTTAGGCCTACCACAACCCTAATCCTTAGGCCTACCCCAACCCTCACCCCAACCCTCACCCTAACCCTCACCCTAACCCTCAGGCCAACCCTAACCCTGACCCCGTGACCCTGACCTGGACCACGCCCTCTGCGCCGGATATGATGAATGCGAGGCCGAGGCTGATGCATCCGTACAGCATGGCGAGTGCCTTGGTGATGCGTGTCGCAGTCTCCTGTCGCAGGTGCCCGTAGAACGGCTTGATGCCATCCTCCCATGTGACGGCCGCCAGCGAGTTGAGACCAGACGATATCGTACTGCAAGCAACGACGTTGCAGTAGCGAGAGCGAGAGAGATAGTGGAAGAAAGAAGAGAGGGAGAGGAGAGATATAGAGTGAGAGAGAAGAGAGAGAGCGCACGAGTGAGAAAAGAGAGAGAGAGCGAGATAGGGAGGACAGATAGAAGGATGGATGGATGGACGGACGGACAGACGGATGGATGGATATATTTATATATATATATATATATAAAGTATATATATATCTCAAGAGTACATAATAGGAGATTATATCTTATTATTTATCCTATTTATCCTATTATATCCTATTATAGCTTATAATCTCTTATTATGTACTCTTGATATATATATATAAATAGATAAATATATAGATAGATAGATAAATCGATAAATATCTATATTCCTTTATTCATTCATCCACTCATCTTTTATTTATTTGTTTATTTATTCAATTTTCCTCTCACCACATGTACCTCTATGTACATCTATGTACCTCTATGTGATATCGTTCATGTGCTGCCTCGCAGGGAGTCGACAAGGTCGGCGGATTCAGCGAAATGTGGGCCAGGTGCAAGGAGAACGGACGCATTGACGGCATCATGTGAGTTCCTTAGTCCTTGGCATGACCTCTAGCTAACCTGACTTCTATAGGTCACGCGAAGCAGCCGCGGCTTTCGCGTGACGTCATTGCGAATGACGATGACGTTGTCGTAGATGTGTAGGACGCGAGATGTGATCGCCTAAGTCTAACAACATTCATACACGTATTTGGGTGTTGGTACGCGAGCGCGTTTCTACATGTAATTATATATATATAGTTGTGCGTGCGTGCGTGTGTGTGTGCGCGTGTGCATGTTGGGGAGGGGGGGGGGCGTGTACGTACGCGTGCGTGCGTGCGTTCGTTCGCGCGTGCGTGCCGACAGCTATCCAACTACCATTTACAACCCGTCGTGCACCGCAGATGGGATCCGGATCCGACGATCTACCAGTCCGTGTGGAGCATGACAGTCGGATACACGTTCTACTGGCTGGCCTTCTACGGCGTGAACCAGGTTCTCGTGCAGCGATACTGCAGTATGCCCACACTACGGGACGCGCAGAAGTAAGTTTACCTATCAAAAGGGACTACGTCCGGGCGGTGGTCGGAAACAAAATTTGTCTTAAATTGACTAGGTCAGCATAAGTTGCACCAGAAAATAGTACATTTTTGTGTTATTTGTACAAATTTGTAACGAAAACATTAGTCTTAACATTAGTGTTAACGATAAATTTATGTTCTCGCAGACCGTTGATAAAAACGTGGTAAAGTTACGGGTTTCTGCTATGCAGTGTGTAAGGTCTGTAAGGGTCAGGTCTAGGAGAAAAAGTTAATGTTAATTGACTAATGTTAAGAGTAATTTTCTTTCTGACAAGGGGTCCCTATGTCTTCCGGTGTTGAGGTGGTATCGAGCACTCTAGGTCTGGTGGGTTCGGGGAGCTGTGGGGGGAGTTTTTCGGACCACTTGACCTCTTAGTTTAGCTGTTTTAATTAGTATTCTTTAGTGTATGACGCGGTAACATGCACTCCATTGTTTGCTGCTCACCCACTCTGCTGCGTTTGTTCCCACTCCACGTTTTTTCTCGCACTCTAGCGTTTTGTTGCCCCTGCTCGTTACCTTTGGCATTCTACTCTTAGGGTAATACTCGACTGTTTGCATTAGGATATTTTAATTAGCTTCACTGTTTGATTGTACTCCGCTATTTGGTGCACATTTTGTTTTTTGGGTACTACTGCACCATTCGTATCACGACGTTACTGCATGGCAGTGAATAGAAAAAAATACATTTGTGTTAGATACTCCACTGTTTGCTTAGACTCTTAGAGTATCATTTTACATATATTAGCACTCATTTTATGTACTGTATCTTACACTGAATTGCTATGTTTAGCCTATAGGCAATTCTGCACTGTTTTCATATGACCCCCTTACCACTGTCTTCATATGACCCCCTTACCAGTGTTTTCATATTACCCCCTTACCACTGTTTAGGTGACACTGACCTACCACCAGGGTAGGTAACTATCTGATATGGTTATAGGGTTAGGGTTAGGGTTAGGGAGTATTAAGCGTAAGCGACTCCCTAGACTCGTTAGTGGAGTAGGCGAGGTACGGTCCGGCATATTAGATAGTACCAGGGTACGTTCCGGCAGTAGGCCCCTACCCAGGGAGACATTGACCCTTTCAGCAACACTAACCTACCATCACACTGGTTGCTAATATAATAAAGTAAATAATAAAATAAATAATATAATAAATGCTAATAAAGTAACTCGCTCTCTACGTTTGTGTAATATCTGCATTACATTAATCTGCATGACTCCACTGTTTTTATGTATAACATCGCGCCACCACGCTGGCAGCTTAATTGTAAGTCGCTTTGTTTAAAAAAAAAATTTAATATCTGTTAGTGTATTACATTACGCTATATAGGTCATATATACTGTCCTAGCACCACACTGGTAGCTATGGTAACTTGCTCTCTTAATGTTTTTTTATTTAATATCTGTATTACATTACGCTATATTATACTGTCCTCTGCACCACACTGGTTGCTATGGTAACTCGCGCTCTCTCAATGTTGCAGAGCTATCTACATCAACATGTTCGGTCTGCCGTTTGTACTGGGCCTGTGCGGATTCACTGGACTGGTGATGTACGCTTACTACGTCGACTGCGACCCTCTCGCTAGCGGCCAAGTAGCGGAGAAGGACCAGGTGAGGTGGAAGTCTATAAGTAATGAAGGGTTAACGGGGAGAAGCGCGGGTGAAAGACAGACGGACAATCAACTATGGAAATAGTGAGCCAGACTTAGGTATAGTTATGTCTGTCTAATAATATACTAATTAGGGTTATCTAATAATATACTAGTTTGAGTTCTCTAATAATATACGATAATATACTTATATATAATAACATACTATAATATAATATAATATATCATATAATATACTCATATATCATATAATATACTTATATATAATATAATATGCTAGGTACGTTTACATAATAACATAGATACTGTTTAAGCTGTATAATTATATAGTTAATATTAGATAATATTATAAGAATTACATATATAATTGTATGTTTGCAGCTGCTGCCGTTGTTTGTGATGGAGGTTCTGGGATTCCTACACGGCATCCCCGGACTGTTCATGGCTGCCCTCTTCAGCGGTGGACTAAGGTAGCGCATCTGCTTCCGCGCAGATAAATACATAAATAAATAAATAACGCGGGTGGCTATCTGGTGTTTGATGTGCATGCTGTTAATATTTCTAATGAACACTTGAGGAGAGGAGGCGTGATAGAAATCGCTTTATGTATTTCTCGGTGAAATGTAGGCCTAATCTGGGAGTGAGTCCACTGAATAACTATCTCTCTATATATGTATCTATATATATATATATGTGTGTGTGTGTGTGTGTGTGTGTGTGTGTGTGTGCGTGTGCGCGTGCGTGTTTGTGTGCGCGCCTGTGCATGTGTTTGTGTGCGTGTTTGTGTGCGTGTGCGCGCGCGCGTGTTTGTGTGCGTGAGTTTGTGCGTGTGTTTGTGTGTGCGTGTGTGTGTGTGTGCGTGTGCGCGCGCGCGTGTGTGTGTGCGTGTGTGTGTGTATGTACCAGGAGTAAATAATCACAATGAGATACTCCTGATATGTATGTATATCGTTGATTGCATATCGGCCTACTTACTAGAAAATAAATAGCAATCATTCCTCCAAACATCACGACCATTTGGAAGACGTCAGTCCATATGACGGCTTTCAGTCCACCCTATATAGTTACACAAACATTAATAACACATTATATTGATACAGTATTGATTCATTATTAGTAATAATAACAACAACAACAACAACAACATTAATAATAATAGTAGTGGTAGTAGTAATAATAATAATAATAATACTAATACTACTACTAATAATAATAATAACAACAACAATAAGAATAAGAACAACAACAACAACAACAATAATAACAATAATAAAAATTATAACAACAATAATGATAACAGCAATTATAATAAAGATAATGTATAATTAGATACTCACGATCGTCGTGTAGAATGTGCAGACGACGGCGACGATGACCATGATGATCCAGATGTCGAGTCCCGTGACAGCGTTGACGGCTAGTGACGGTGCGTACAGCACCACAGCCAGGTACAGCAGCTGCAAATGTGAAGCCATGTGTGACCAACTCGCTGCTGTGTTTGTATGTGTGTATGTGTGTGGGAGGGGGGTGTATGTATTGTGCGTGTGTGTGTGTGTGTGTGTGTTTGTATGTGTGGTGGGGAGGGGGGTATGTGTGTGTATATATGTGTGTGCGTGTGTACAGCAGCTGCAAATATGAAGCCATGACCACGTGATGATCACTAGCGAAGCCATGACCACGTGATGATTACTAGCGAAGCCATGACCACGTGATGATCACTAGAGAAGCCATTACCACGTGTTTGGTAGTAGTGACGCCATGACCACGTGAGGAACCCACAGTAATAGGAGTGACGTCTTTGCATTGACCATAGATATATACAACACATGTTGTATATATCTATGCATTGACCTTGAACGCCGTAGCTTCCGTTGCTACACACCGCTCTTCATAGGTGAGCATCAGTATCGGCTTCTGCAATATACTCACCATTTGTATCGTGAAGAGAATCGAGCCCAGAATGCGCACTGGCTTGGACTTGTAGCGCAACTCTAGATACTGGAAAGAAAAAACATACAGTAATCACCACGACAGACAGAGGTAAGTACAGATTTGATTATTTTATAATTTATTTTTTTACAGATTAATTGCCGAAAATGAAATTATTAATTCTGCTCAATACCACCTCTAACCCCCGTTTAAAAGCAATGAAATGGTGCTTTGCTGATGTTCCACTAATGCTAAAAGTTTGTTTCTATCGTAGTCGTGATTTATTTATCATAATGCGATATAGCTAGCACTGCGTGGCAACGCATAATCTCGGATATCATCTTCTTATCGCATGTTGCTATTTACCTAGTAATGACCCGTCTTAGTCTTACCGTTTCTCGTCCGTCGTAGATATGTTCTAGTCTAGTACCTTATAGTCTCGTCTATAGATATCTCTACGTGATAAAATACGTTATGTATCTGTGTGAACACGTCGGGGCAGAAACCTAAACCTGCTGTTAGCACTCACACCGTGGACTTTAGAGCCAATAGTTGTCAGAAACAGACAGACGAACTCGTAGCAAACCTTATGTAACTTCTACGCTACACAGCGAGATGCGTGTGTGCTTTCTCTCACGATGCCATAACTTTCGTACGTGATGTGAACAACGTATTCATAGTTCAATCTTTTTTAACGGCTGCGCGCGTGCTCATGTGCGCGCATATGCGTGCGTGCGCGTGTGCGTGTGCGAGTGCAGGTGCTTGTATGTGCGAGTGCGCGTGCGTATGTTTGTGCGTGCGTGCGCGTCTCTGTGTGCGTGCGCATCTTTCGTGTACGTGGTTGTATGCAGGCATATGGTCGCGGCTAGGGCGTGCGTTACCTACATGCATAGATACAGATTCCCTTCTCAATAAAACGTATACATATTCACCCTGGATTGCATGGTTCAGCTCAGCTTCATTTTAAATCCTTAGATATCTGTCTCTCTCTCTCTCTCTCTCTCTCTCTCGCTCTGTGTGTGTGTGTGTGTGTGTGTGTGTGTGTGTGTGTGTGTGTGTGT